CCATACCAGTCACAGGTTTCCCCATGCAGGGACCAGATCCGACCCTTCTGCTGCCCAAGAGTGGCCCCCCATCACCGGTCCCCAGTGCTCGGACACACTCTGTATTTTGAGCGAGAGGCCTGAGACGCGTTTGGGCATCGCGCTGTTCCCAGGCCTATTTTGTTTACATTTGATTCAATCAAGTTGTGGCCTTTTGGCCTCTTTCCAAATTAACTTCTGGGTGACCTCCGCTGTGCCCTCTCCCAGCAGCAAGGCCTCCGAGAAACAGGCCATTAAACCTACAAACAAATATTGGATATATTGCTTGATCAAGCCAGCTTCAAACATAGCTATTTAACCCCCGGCACATGCTTTTGCAAACTAAGTATATTTTGTCTTCAGTCATTCACCCTTCTTTGCCTACTTTTTTTTTTTTTTAATTCCGTCTAGAGCTCCGTGTTTTACTGCCTCATAAAACTTCAAAATTTTGTTCTCATCCTCCCGTAAACCCCACGAAGAGCAGCGCAGGGCCCGTTCACACGGATCTCGCTGCAGGGCTGGGTCTTTACACCGAGCACGTGAAGAAAGGCAGCAAGATCCTACCCTGTGGATCAGCCATAATACTCCAAGAAATTGTGTGTTCCCCCTATTTCCAAGGAAATAAATCAAAGTTGGTTTCTCAGGGTCTGTGAAAGCATATAGCCTGGACTCCAATCCCCAAAGGGTTGGTGTTTTTTAATTTTTTTTTTCCAAGAGCTTATATGGTAGTTGGATTTCTGGCTAGAGAATATGCAATATGATAAAAACACAGCCCCTATACAGGGTAATAAATTACAGATTGTTTGATGTGGAAACCAAAGAACTGTCAAACTCCAGTATATCTGAAATATTCTAAATGAGCCCTTAACTCCAGTGTCTGGAAATGTACAATATGTTTCCAGACCCTTCAATCTTGTAAAGGCCCATCTCCCCCACTTAATTTTCCTTTTATGGATTTTATTCTTCATTTTTAGTGGATTTTTTCCCCTCCTCTTTCAAAACTGTGCTCTTCCTCTTCGAGATAGTCCTATGATAAACAATAGGAATTATCTAACTGTAGAAAGGAATCAGAAGTGGGCCCAAGCTTAATTTTTAGGAATGCTGTTTTGTCACAGACTTTGTATAGGATGTCACCTCCTCACTTCATCTGCCCACCCACAGAACAGGGACAGCTACTGCTGCAGCTCACTGGGCTGTTTTGCAGGTAAGTGCAGTAAGGACAGGGGAAAGCATCTGAGTAGAAATGGTGTTAGAGCCCTGCAAGCACCACAGGGAGTGCACAAGCAAGCTGAGGACAGAGAGAAAGAAAAAGGAGATCCAAGAGCATCACCCCAGCTGATCCAGTACCTGCAGTCTCCATCCCAGCTACATGCTTGCATCAGCATCACCCAGGTCCACTCACCCAAACCTTTCTTGGTCGGAGGTCACTGACAGGGCAGAGCATCCAAGACATGGGACATGAGGCACGGTGGCTCCCACCTCCACACGTATCTGTTAAAACTTGAACTCATCCCCATCTGTCAGCCATCCCCGTGGGGAGGGGAAACTTGAGTGACCAGAGGAAATAACTCATTTGCACAATGCTTTTTGCCTAGGGTTGCTATCAAGTCACAAAGAAACTGAGCAAGACCTTGTGCTGACAATGAATAACCTCTCACTTCCAATATAGTTTCATGTGTGGGATGAGTGAAAACCCTTCTAGCCAGCAACAGACCCCATCCACTCTGGGAAATAAAAGTTAGGAACCAATTCCAACTCATTTTCCTGAAGGCGACCCTTGGCCTCCCAGCTGAGATAACAATGCTAATATTTATGGACGGGCTATTCCTGCCTCTGGACACAGAGCAAAAATAACTCAAATCACAACTTGGTAGACACATCTAACAGAACTGAAAAAGGAATCTTTGCTTCCAATACAGTAATAACAAACCATCTCGCCCACCAATGCAAAAAAAAAATAGCACCACCCACAGTCACACATGCACACGAAAAAAAAGTGGTCTGGAGTTCTGATATGATGAGTAGGCATCAGCAATTGTGACTCATCCAGAAAGAACTGACCTGAGACAACACACCACTCAGACAGCCATGCTTCATTCATTTATTTATCTTAGCTTGATAAAAGATGCTTAGACCAAGCTAAAACAATCTGGAAAATTTTTTTACATTCCCTTTCTCTATGGGTTAAGTTTTCTGTATTCTTTTTAGCCACTGTGCATTTGGTTCTAATGCACAAATAACATTCTCAAACTGGAAAAGTTTGAAAAGGATTTCTCATATATGCATATGCTTACACAGATTCAGTTTGAGAAGACTCCTGAGCAAGCATTATTTCCTCCCTCCTACAACATATTTGCCAAACTCAAGCAAACTTGAAAATTTGGTGTACTGATGAAAGAACACACATTTTTCAGCAGCATGAGCAGCCTGAAGTAAACTGAAGCCAAAGCACCAGCAAGTTGCAGACATTGGCAAAAAACTACAAGAAAATGCTGTGGAACTCTAACAAAAATTGCACCAACTAGCACGGTTCCTGAGTCTACCAGTATGAATGAAAACTGACCTGCATCTCCAACACAAAAAAAATGGGGAGGATTTAATTAAGTTGTGCTCGACAAATAATATACTGGTAGTCACATGGGAAACCAGTTTAGAACTCTGAGCGCTACACGAATTCTTTTTTTCCAAAAAGACTGAATGTTTGCAAAACCTCAGAAACCACTGTCCTTTGAGTTTGGTAGATACTGAATTTTTCACCCTTCCCAAGCCTAGGAGCCCACACTTTCCCAGATCTGAAACCAACACCTGAAAAACAACTGTAATTCATCCAGAGTTGTTCCTTTCACATTTCCTACTCTTTAGCATCCAAGATGTGTTCCAGATGTGAAGCAGATCACAAAACTTCAGCAGGCCAAGAAAAGAAGTGTGATGGTGAGCTCTGCCACCCAAAATCCCTAATTTAAGTAACATCCACAGTTATTTTACCAGTACATAAGCTGCTTACCACCTCAGTGTGAATAGCTAGGTTCATAACTAACTTTCACAAGTCACTTTACATTTCCTCCTGATTTTATTCTCAATTCCCCTCCTTCTCAAACATAACTTCACAGGAGGGGTTGATTTTTTCAAACTCTTACAATTTATGCCATCCAAATCAAAACAACTCATCTGCTCCCTACAACGCTACAACTTTCCAGTCTGATACTGCGAACAAGGGAGAGAGCTGTAAAAGACCATGACTGAGCTGACCACGTTCACCCACTTACCCCTATTCTTCTCAGAGCAGGAGCTGACACAGACAGGCTGCTGCTGTAAACAGCTGCATTCAGCCAAGTTGTGTTTACCCAGGGTCCCTCGTTCCACAAAGCTTAGCTCCTCAGCAGCCTGAACTGTTCAGCGAAGACCTAACTTGACCCAATCTGGCAGCCAGCATTTCACAACCACTTTATGTCAGCAGTTTCAAGTACGCTAATAACCATGTTTTGTTCGGTGCGACTTTCTCACTGTGAACGGCAAAATATCATTATCACCTGCAGGTTGAAGCCTGCCCTCTACCCCATTTAATAGGGAGCTGATTATGCTATTCTCTCTCCCCCCCCCCTTAATAATTACAGGCTGTGGGCAGATGGCACAGCTTTTCCATGCAGGAAGGCACAGCAGCCTGCGCTGCCATCGCCTGTTCTGCATGCTGAGGTGCTCTCGGGGTCCCAGTGGCCCCAGTGCTCCCAGCCAGCGGCCGGTGACGTGTGCCTGCCCTGCAGGGCTTCGGCCAGGAACTGTTATCACAACAGCCCCTGGCACCCGCGGGAGCAGGAAAGCAGAGGTTAGCAGAAAAGTCGCTAAGCCAGCAACTTCAGGCAGATCAGCCCTCACAGCCCACCAGCCGGGGTGCAGCTGGGCTTTACCATGGGAAGCTGCTGCTGCTGAAAGCATCGTGCTGGAGCAAACCTGGACGAGATCCCCACCAGTAAAAGCTCTCTTGAGGGAGACAGGGCAGCTCAGCCATGTTAAAGACAGCGTTATGACCTGAGTATTTTCCCAGCAAGACCCAAATGCTGTATGTTCCCAGAGAGTACAGAGGTCTAAGCTGCCAGCCTACTAGAAAACAACCCCTCTGAGAGTTACACAGTGACAGAGAGCAGAGTCCAGAGCCAGACCCCAGCCCAGCTGGGGGACAAAGGCAGGGCTGGCTCGAGTCAATACTGTAGAAGAGCTCTGGGAGGTTAAACCCTCTCCCTGCAGCACTCACACTGTGTGAAAGGCAGTTTCCCTCACATAGCTCACAGCCATTGCCAACTGAACACAGCGCAGAGGTGTCACTTAATCCCTTGGCAGCAGCGGGGCTTCACAGACTTAACCTGGCCTGGCATGATGGGTAGAGACAAGATACTGCTTGTCCTTGCAATGATGCCAGGTCTGAGACCGTGGGAAGGAAGCTCCCTGCCTGGCAAAGAGGGTCTCATCCAGCTCTGCCACATCCCCATTAAACAGTAACTTGTTTTGACAGTGATTAGGAGCAGACATCCAAGGACATGCAGCAAACTAACAACTGACCCTCCATTCCAGCCATGAGCAAAGAGGACTTCAACAAGAGTTGATGTCAGACATGTGCCACACAGACCTACACCAGCACCTCGTGCTTATGGATATCACAGCAGCACCATCTTCCCACCATACCGGGGATGAGCACTTACAAGAAGTGCACCACAAGGACACATCCAGTGCCTGGGAACAGGCTGAGCCCAAAGGGCTGCACTGTGCATGCCCTGTGGCTCCTGTTTTGCCCACAGGCTTAAACCAGGACCTGCCATGCATGCCTGGTACCAAGCCGGGCCGAAGCAGCACCTGCTCTCCACCCAGCTGCTGAAAACAGAGCTGCCCGGGGTTGTCTGGCTGAGCCCGAAGAAAGTGTGGGGGAGGCCAGACTGATTTGGAAACCACCCACTCTGGAGTCATCCCCTGCTGGCACGCCTGCAACAAACCTGGTTGATGTGTTTCAGCTTGTCAATAATCTGGCTGATCACTGGCTCGGGACTTTTCATCTTCACCTCATGGTTGCCAGGGTGAGCTTTTACTCCGTTCCTTGTGATTTGGGGGCTGTATCTGTGGAATGAGAGAATGTGGAAAGTATCTGTGAGAACAGAGGAGACCACAATGTGACGGGCTAACACAAGAGATCTTTAAAGTTCAGTACAAACAAGAGTATTCCCAAGATAAGAACCAGCCCTTTCCAAAATTGAGAGAATAAAACAGTTAATAATGACACAGGAAAGGCAGAAGATTCCTGTATATATTTCTGCTCTGCCTTTGCAAAGCAGCAAGATGATGTACTTGATCACTTGAGGACAATGAAGTCCTTTCCAGTCCATTAGTAACCAAGGAAGACGTTAAACAATATACAACAGGGATAAATATTTTCACATAACTTGCACCCAAGAGTCCTAAAAAAGCTGGCTGAGAAATTCTGGCTTGCTCATGTTTGTTTAAAATAAATCTTGGCAGACCACAGAGACTCCAGTACAAGAGTGGTAGTGTGCCCACAGCCAAAAAAAAAATGAGTGGGATGACCCAGTTAACTGCAAGCTGATTAGTATAACACCAACCCCTTGCAAAATAATGACTATCACTGATGTGTGATTTCAATAATAAAGAATTAAAGCATCAGAATATAATTAATGCTGTCAACGTTGCTAATGGAAAATAGGTGTTGTCAAACAAACCTGATTTCAGTCTTTGATGAGATCCAGCCTTGGGGATCAAAGTAACAGCTTCAACACAGAACATACCTTGACTTCGGTGCGGTGCTGGACTCTGCACCACACAATATCCTGATTTACACGGGTACCACCATGTCGGTAAAGCACGCATAAAGCAAATTAAGAGCTGGCTGAGACCACCAGACACAGCCTCCATGGGCACCCTCCCCAGGCAGCTTGCAGGGATGCTGTGCAGAGGCAGGTGGCCGAGCCAGCTCTCAGTTTTTTCATCAGCAACTAAGAAAGCAGTGTAAATGTGCTGCTGCCAAATCTATGGAATGGCAAAGTTTATCAGAGCAAGGAGAAGGGGGAAAGACAGGGATCACAGCATATTTTGCTTTGGAGGAAAGCACTCCTGCGCCTGATACCTGGAGAATAGCTTGTGCCACTCAGGATGTGAGACAAGCAGCCTGCACCAACCTCAAACTGGGCTTCAGGACCACAGTAAGTAGCTGTTACCACTTTCTGCTCACAGCCAGGGCAGCAGCACACTGGTGCCTTCCTGAGCTGCGGGTTGTTTGTGTTCATTGCAGCCCCAATTACTGGCCCCGGTACTGTAAAAACACAAACCAAGCCCTCATCTCCAAGAGCTGACAGCCCAAGCACACGCTGCCAAAACCCGGCACAGCCTACGAAAGCAAGATTTCGGAGATAACACCGAGCATCAGTCTGCTTTACTGTATGTTTGTTTTTCCGGTGCCGTGGGTAAACTTGATGAGTATTCCTTTCTGTGCCTCATCTCCTGCATATTGCATCCATACCCAGCTCCCAGCACCAGCCCTGGTGACTGCCCCCACCTGCCAGCTCCCCTTCCCCTCCCCACTACTTGGTCCTTCCCCATGACAGGCAGCTCATCTCCCACAGGCTTTGTGGAGGAAGCAGGACATCAGCAGGGATTAAATTGAGGGGAGGGAGATAGGAGGGATGGTGGGGCCAGCTCAGGGAGAATGCTCTGCTGGGGGAGAAGGCAATAGGCACAAGGTTATTCATCCAAATGAGCTGTTGGGGTACACAGAAGGTTTTGGGGGTTTGGCTGCACTTGAACTCTTAACTAATGAGAGAGTCAGACATCCAGGGATATAAAGCCTACTGCAGATTTACATTGGTGGAGCAGGAACCTGTTCCCAGCCTGAAACATTCACATCATTCCAAAACACTGAGGTTGATTTCCACTCTGAGGCTTTTTCAGAGCACGAGTTACCCATCCACAAACGCTCAGCACTCCAGCTGCACCCCACTGCACCGCGCACTCCCCATACACCAGGCACTGTTCCAGCAGGTACAAAACACAGCTACACCTGAGACACAAGAGCTCCCAGTTCAGGAAAGCGCTTACACGAGCTGTCAGAGGTTTGTCCTAAGCTGAAAGCTAAGTGATTTGTAAAACAGGGGCCAAAGCAAGGCAGGCTGGGACACCAGACTGAAGCAAGTCATGGCCAGGCAAAGCCAGGCTTCCCGCTGCTCAGCCAGCGGTGGGACCGTGGGCTCAGAGCACCATCTCGTGGGAAGACAGCGCTGCCGCAAGCACACATCGGTCCTGGTCTGCAAATACCTGTGGACTTTAACCTTTTGCAGGGGAATAAGGCACTGGAAGCAACGAACCATCAAACCTGCTACTTATTTGTCACAGAGTCACCTAATGCTACTGTGCCAGGCTGACAAACACATCTGGTGACTGAACACTAACGTCTATAAAAACGTGTGGCTTTTTAGATGCCAAAGAAATTTCCATTTTTGGTGTTGCTGTGAATCTAATTCAAAAACATTGACAGAACTTTAAAATGCATTGCTGAAAAGTCTCCTGTGGTTTAACCAATTTAACTAGTAGGATAAATCTCCCACAGGTTTTAGTAAGAGCAGAACCATGCCCAGTTTGGTGCATGCCTAAATTATTACAATCTCTCTCCTAAGCCGTTTTACAAAGAAACTTAATAGCTTGGTTTTGAGTGGGCGAAACCCCTTCTGAAATCCAGGCAACAACTGCCAGAAAGGATTTCTGTAGCCACACAATGTTACACAGGAGGGAGGAACACAACTACTGCATGTCAAGGTAACATGTCCAAAGACAGGACTTGTTCTGGAGAAGGCAGAGACCCCTGCGCATCCTCGGAGTCATGAGGACATCAGACCTCACTCCCCAAGGGACAAGTCTGGGGGAGAAGGAAGCAAACCTCAAAGTGCTTGCAGAAGGAATTCTGCTTTAAACAGTCCCACTGGGAAAGCAGAGTGCCACCGACTGCTGTTTCTCACCTGGCAAGGTACAAGGGGACATAATAGGCCCCAAATGAACCCTTTACCTCATTGTGCATAATTTGAAGCAGCACGGCAGCGGGCTCTGCAAGCTGCGCGTATTGGGACTGAATCACAAAGCAGCAGATGCACAGGGACATGCTACATCTGAAGAGCCAGAGACAAGCTCCCGCATGGCTTGGGCGCTTTAGGACACACTGCATTCACGCTGCCAAGCCAAGACCTTGAGTGAGAGGTGGATACCAGCTCCCCCTTGTCAGAAAGCGGCATGGGCTGGCACACATTCAGGCACGTGGGATGCGGCCAAACCAAGGGTTAAAGACTTTGAAATGTAGCTTCAGCAAGGGATGAACATTCCTGAGATGCCAGAAAAACTTGAAAAGGCAGCTGGCACCCCTCTCTGCAGCCTGGGCCAAGCAGCCAGGCCTCCAAGGACTAACATGGCATAAAGATGCCTTTGGAGACCCCACAGAGCTGGACGACGAGGAGGTCCCAGCACAGCCCCCACACAGGAAAAGCCACAGCTCCCCTGCATCCCACCAAGTCATTAAAAGGCAGGTGGGCTCACAGGGTCTTGCAAAGCAACAGCATCACCTTCCTCCCATGCTCCCCAGCCACGGCTCAGGTAAGAAGAGATCCGAGCCATGTTGAGCCACTTTCAGCATATGCCAATAGAACAGCCCCTTCTGCAGGGTGCTAGAGCCACTCCACCAAACCCACCATACACCTCTACCAGTGACACCAGCACTGAACAGCAAATGCACAGTGGTTAAAGTCCACCCCATGGTCATGGGGGTCCCTGAACTGAAGGGATATCAGAGTTGCAATATGAGCATGGTCTGGCTTCCACTTCATAAGCAAAGCCCAAAATACTTCTCCTTCTTGATGTGCCTCAATGTCAGTCAGCAGCATTTCCTTGCCTGGGCTCTCTGGGCATGGGCTCTTGCTGGGGTCATGGTATTCTACAAAGACAAATGTCACATAGCCCTCACTAAGAACAACTTAAAAGACAACCACCTGATGAAAACACTGATGATCTGAGGTTTTCTGTGGGGATAGCACAGCGATAGACCTTTCATACTCTTCATTCACTATCTGTAAATGCCAAAGTATGAAGTCACATTAAGGGATTTTCTTCTCCCTTTCTACCCACCATCCACAAATTTCTCCAGTGAATGTTTGGCCATTCCAGTCCAAATGCAGCTCTTTCCAGGCTTTTGATTCAGAGCAATGAAGACAAGATGACAAATGCTATTTAAAAATATGGCAATAAATGTAAAATGTGTGTTCATCCTACTTGGCCTTACTAGGCTTAGAGATGAGTTACTGCAATGCCTGACACATGATTTAGAGAAAGTAATCCTTTAAGTCAAACAAAGAATTACACCTTTTAGAAAAAGGAAAGTAAGTTTTTCATTCAAGTAACAATTAATTTACTCTTGCCTTCCAGTTGTAAAGTATTTATTCAAATACAGCTGCACAATTTAAAGAGCACGGTATCCTTTGCACTCTTTCTCTACTGTCTCTGCTCACTGAATCATACTTGTTCTGAGGGAGCAGATGGGGGACAAACACAGCACAGACTGCTACAACACAGGGCTACCGTACAAAAAAAGAAGCTTCACGTCACAAGACTTCATGGCTGAGCTTGAGAGCAGTATTTCCAACACTTGCAGTCCCCAAAAGCTGCTCTGTGTTTCATTACAACTTACTACTCAGCCGTGAGGGGGTGGCCCAGAGATTCATGACTATTAACACAGTGGTGTGAGTGCACCCTTTTAGATGTTTCAAATGGAGTCCTGATCACACAGCCACTGGTCTGCTCAGTCCTGGAGAGGAGTACATCTGTCAAAGATTAATTTTTTTTTAAACCATTAAAGCCTTTGAAGTGTAAAACATTAAGTAAGGCTTTTATTTGAATAAAACACCTTCCCACACACACTCCCATTGCTTTTGGCTGCAAAGACTTCTACACACAACTCCCCAGCTCCCCTTTCACAGTCAGATAACATTAAAAATGGTAACACCCTTCCTTTTAGAGAAAAAAGGAGAGACTTTGAACCAGGACTGGAGCTTGTTTGGACTCAATTGGCCAGA